CTTTAGTTCAAGGGTGCTTCTCCGCTCAGGCTTCTGTATGCTCTTCTGATTCCTGGAATGTTCTTTTATTCCCTTGCTTTTTTTAGGGATCAAAACCAAAGTTGTTGATGTTACCAAGAAAGACCAGGTGAAGTCCATGGCCAAGGACTTTGACTATATGGATGTGCTCTTCAATGTTGCTGTGTTTGAATTTCTCATTAAAAGCAGTGAATGTATATCTTTAGCTAACTTTTTTATATTTGTATGGAGTTTCTTTTTGTAATCTATCCTGGCTAGAATGTACCACCTTCTAGAAATCAGGAATGATGCAATAGCATGACTATATTTCATTTTCAAGGGCTTCTTTGATGTGCATACAGTTTCTCTTTTTTTTTCTTTGACACAGATTTGTCCATCATGGCTCAATACTGGAGTGTGAGGAATCGGATTGGGACTTCACTATGAACGTGAATGTCCGTAGCATGTACCTGATGATCAAGGCCTTCCTGCCTAAGGTCATCTTGTCCTTCTCTCTAGGATTATCCCAGAACACCTCATGCTACCTCTTCTTTTTCTCCCCCATTATCCCTGGAAAAGACCTTCGTATTTAAAGATTATGTTTTCATCCCCATCTCGTTTGTTCTTTGGGTTTAGAGTACAAAACAGATCTGTACTATGCAGTTTAATACGTAATCCCTGTGACTGCACTGCAAAAAATGGCTTATCTTACTTAGTATTTTTGTCTTGTTTCTAGTCAAAATATCAAAAAATTCTGAAATCAAGATACTTTTACTAGATAAGCCAAACGATTTAAGATATTTAGTCTTGTTTCCAGGGGGAAAAAAAAACTAAATTAAGTGCATTTTGCTTAAAACGAGTAAAATTATCTGCCAGTGGGGTAAGTAAAATATTCTTAAAACAAGAGTATTTTACTTACCCCACTGGCCCCAAAATGTACTTAATTTAGTTTTTTCCCCCTGGAAACAAGACTAAATATCTTAAGTCAATTGGCGTATCTAGTAAAAGTATCTTGATTTAAGAATTTTTAGATATTTTGACTAGAAACAAGACAAAAATACTAAGTAAGATAAGCCATTTTTTGCAGTGTGCATAAATGTGCTCAAACTGCAACCCAGACATTTTTGAGTTTATGAATTATAAATGTCAAATTTGTAAAATTTTTATACATCACTATGAGAATACTAGCTCTTATACTAATGTTCAAAAGTTTGGGTTGCTACTTGCTAAGTTTATTACAATTTAATATGACTGTATTGAATGCATTAATATGAATACATTTTAAATTTGTGATTTATTCCTGTGATGGCAAAGCTAAATATTTATTTGTTGATTTAGTGCTCAAGTAACATTTCAATTACTATTATCAATGTTGAAAACATGATGACAAAAAGAACATTTATTTTAAATATAATTTTTTTGTAACATAAATGTCTTTACTGTCACTGATGATCAATTTAATGCACTCTTGAAGAAAAAACGTATTCATTTCTTAAAAAAAAAAATACAGAGATTTTGATGGGTGGTGTACATTTGATAAAAGCTACACGATTTACAAGATACATGATTTGAAGTATATTACTTTAACCAGTCAGCCAATTTAAACAGATTTTTTCCTTATCCATCTCCATATAGATGCTGCCTCGTAAATCTGATAATATCATCAATATGGCATCTGTGGCATCTAGTATCAAAGGTAATAATTATATTCTGTTGCAACCTATTTGCATTTTGATGCTGAATTATAAATGGGCTGCTGTAATACATCATGCTGTATATCAAGATTTGGCCCTTTGCTCTTAATTACATGTGATGATCGACATTGTTCCATGTAGCTCTTGGCATATTATCTTACCCCCATTATCTCCAGTTTGGCTGATGCTGAAATTGGATAAATGCCAGGTCAAGTGAAGTTTGCCCTCTCCTAATTGCTCATCCTTAATTGCATGTCCAGGAGTTGTGAACAGATGTGTCTACAGCATGACTAAAGCTGGACTGACCAAATCAGTGGCAGCTGATTTCCTGGAACAGGGGATCCGCTGCAATTGTATCAGCACTGGTATGCTGCTTTACTGATTGGTTTCCGATATAAACTTAAGTCCCTGTATCATACAAAAATGTCACTGCACCTAGTGATTTTATGAGTCATTTTGCTTCTTTTGACCTTTACAGGAACTGTAGATACGCCTTCATTACGACAGAGAATTCAGGACAGGCCTGATCCAGAGCAGGTACTGCTTCCATTGCAAAGAAGCAAGAAGCTGTTTGCGTAATTTTTGATTGTCTTTTTCCAAATGCAAAAGTCTTTTAGAGCTCTCATGGAAGATAACTAACAGCCAACTGAAGCAAGTGAACACAGGAAACATGCCAGCAACTCCTTATCAACTAACTTTTGATGATGATACACTTGAGCAATTCTAGAGACAAGCTCTGGCTTCTCTGAGTGAACGTTAATGAGGCTTAAAGTTTATATTTTACAACAACATTGTAGTCATACAGCAGAAGCAAAACTGTTAAGAGAAAGGTCATGTAAATATACATTACTGATCAATCGTGAAATATTACAATTTAAAATAACTGTTTTCTTTTTTAATACATTTTAAAATGTCTTTTTTTTGCTATGATGAAAATCAGATTTTTTCAGAAGCCATTCATCCAACTTTCAGTGTCACATGATCACATGATATTGTCTATGTTGAAAATGCTTTGCTTCTTAATACAGTATCTGTGAACACCATAATAAACTACCATTCAAAAAATTTCAATAAGGAAAATTGAAAAGAGAGAAATTAATGCCTTTATTCAGCAAAGATGCATTAAATTTATCAAAAGTGACAGTCAAGGCATTTATGTTATCATATTTATGCATTTATGTTGCATATCATGTTATGTGATCCAAGGGTCAGCAGAATGACACTTCTGCTTTTTGAAACCTTATGAGAATGATTGTCAGAATGATCATTTACATTGATTCTGGGAAGCTTCTGTGAAAATAATTTTGCTCACACAATGTGCTATTTTTGCCTTTAGTACAATTGATTTTTTTGAATGAGTACAAAAATCCCAAAATAATCTTTTTTTTTTATACAGACACTAACCAAAGGTTTTTACTAACAACAATTACTAATCATATAAACACACAGTTCAGCGTGTCATTCTCACTGTCATAGAGTTTCTGTTTTTAACCTGTTAGGCTTTTAAAGACTTTATGGCCAGACAGAAGATTGTGCACTGCAGAGGAAGTGGCACATCCGTGTGTGTACTTGGCCTCAAATGAGATGAGTCTTTGTCCATTGTTCTCTATTTTTTTTGTATATATCATTTAAGACACACCATGTGGTACTGAAAAGTGGTGTTGCCATTTTAACAGTTCACTTGGATTAAAAATATAGCTGGCTATTTAAAAATAATCAAAGGATTTTTATTCCTACAGTCTGCCTATGTAACAGGAACAGAAGCCATCATTGATGGAGGATGGAGACTCTGAGGATGATTTGTTACATTTACTAAATAACCTTTAACATGCATGCAATTTGAATTCCAGAGAAACAGTCACTGATTTTCTTTATCTTGAAAACCTTAATGCTGCTATGGTGCAGTTGTACTGAATCTAAATCGTTCTTGGCCATTAAACAATTGTGGATAAAATATGCCAAATGTAATCAATATGTTTGGCCATTTATTGTCTTCTATTAGACAAATGTCCAATTCATAAATAAAGGTTGAGAATAGTAATCAGTGTTTTTGACACTGAAACCTAGAATTAATTGTAAAACAAATAAGCTTTGAAACTCTTGGTGTTTATTTTATTAATTCCCTGGCTTTAGCTTGACTATACGTGCCGTTTATATGTTAAAAAATAAACCATATTAAGCATAAAACATTGTGGATGTCGCATGATTATGGGATCATGATAAACACAGAAGTCTCTTGCCGACGTCTTGTGATTGGTCAGTTACTATTAGCTCTAGCCAATCACTCCACAGGAGGTGGGACTTGTCAGAAAAGGGGTTGGGAAAATAGCCCCGCTTGGACCTGATTAGAGCTGTCACTCACACTTCCGGATGCCTCTACCGGGTAAAAGATTAACCTTTAAACGCTATCCGCGCATCTGGGATCAAGCGCGTATATTTTTATTGTTATTTGTTTTTATATGTGTAGACTTTAGCACATGTCGGTCAATACTTTGCAGGTGGTCGAACTTACAGATACTTCCGCATGAGATTTGATTTGATGGAAGTAAGGTTCGAAGCCACGATTGTTTGTTTTCATTATTTCATGTCAGGTAATTGATTTATCATAACAAAAATGATAATCATCACAGAGAAAAGACACTTTCTTTATTACGCAAAACAGCAGGATTGCAATGGTCATGAAACAAGGAAGGAAATTAATCTTATAGACGATAGTTGAAGATGCTATAAATAAGAATACCTGGACTAAGAACACTGTGATGTCAGTAATGCTACTCAGTGAGTGGTTTACTACGGTCTTACAAACAGACCATATGCCATGCGCTCTTCAGTCTGATAAAGCACCATATGGCCCAGGCGTCGCGTTTAGTCCTGTCACAATCCGATTAACCTGTCGAATAAACCAGTCGATTTCTTTTCTAGTACTCGTGTTATTTCCTCTTTGAAGGTAACTGATAACAGCTACTCAGGCTTCATCGATAGGCAGACGCTGTAATCGCGATTTATATTTACACAGATGAGTGTTGATAAACAGGAGCCGGTCATGAACACGTGCAATGGCTAGAAAACTCGAGCGAGGATAGAGCAGAAGTACAGTGCCATGGAAGATGCCCAGTCCAGACCCCATTCAGCCCACTCCACATACTCACAGACGACCGAGGATGCAGCCTCCGCCTTGGGAAATAATGCCGAAGTAGGTTATTAGTCAGAATTCCCCACTTTATGCTGTTTCTGTCTGTATTATTTCAATATTGGTTCTATAAAATGGGACAGCTGCCTTTATTGATGTTACAGTATGTAGATAAAATGATCTCAAGCCTTAATGGACAATTACAACGTTCAACACTTTATAATAACCTTAATTTGTTCAATTAACAAACATTTGAATGCTTTATAGAGCAATAGTTCATGTACTTTCAAATATGTATAATAAAATACACTGAGAGAACTGAGACTAGGGTCAATTCTGCTTCTAATTTTGCATTATTTTTTTACATTTAATACAAATAATTTTTCTTTTAAACTTCACTCAAACTTTATGCTGTGCAATCAATCATAATACTGTATAGACTGGTACTAGTCAATCAAAGCCATTTATGCATATATATGCATACAAATATATATTTTAAAATATACATAATAAATATACACAGCACACACATATAGTATGTAAACAAACTTTTATTTTGAAATCGCGATTAATCGTTTTGCAGCCCTGTCTCAGACATACTGTATGGAAATACATCATACAGTACTATGTATTATATGCTGCACTGGATAAAAACATCTGCAAATTTATATTTTGCTACTAAGATCATTGCTTGTTTCTTCATTCACCAACAGCATCACCTTACTGTCAGTCAGACAGTGCTGGTGGTTCCGAAGCGCTCAGAGAGCCCCAATCCGAGTATGACCGAAGAGACGACGTATGTCCCTCGTCTGGTGTCTTCAGTTGATGCTTGTACTAACACAGACCCTCCGTACGAATGCTGCCCATGGCTGCGCAGACTGTGCCCGTGTCCACCCAGAGGCCTGCTGGCTACCATTATCACCAAAGGTTAGAAAAGGGTCAATGATTTTCCCAAACACGATGATAGAGATTGCACATACACTATTTTTCTAAAGCTTGGGGTCAGAAGGTGATTTTGAAGGTTTTTAAAAGAAATTGTATACTGTATTTAATAAAAAAATACAGGAATATTATGAAATGTTATTACAATTGAATATAGCTGTTTTTTGGCCTAATATATTTCAATTTGTTCTTGTGAACACAGCATCTGTTTGTTCTTGTCCCCTTTGTAGTGTCCATGGCCGCAGTGCTCTTTGGGGTTGTTTGGTCCATTACAGAGAAGGAATGTCTTCCTGGCGGGAACCTCTTTGGTATTGTGACCTTGTTTATTTGTTCTGTAGCCGGGGGAAAACTGTTTGGACGCATACACTTCCCGAACATGCCACCTTTACCTCCACTACTTGGTATGTGCAATTTCTGCATTGTTGTCTGTTGTTAATAATGTAGTAATTACAACACAACACTTGCATACAGCACAGTTTTTTGTTGGTCAGCATGGTGAATTCATGTGACTAACTCAAACTTGAGTGAAATCTGCGTTTGGAACTTTTTTGATTGCTATCACCCGTGAAATTTCAGTAAAATGTCAAATGGGAAATGTGACCTCAATCTAAGAAAATAATGGCTGTGTTAGGGATGCAATGCAATTCATATGGCACAGTACATACTGTATTCTACCTCTTTTGTTAAAACATATATAACCATTATACTATTTCCGTAATGAACACAAAAAATAGCCCAAAAATGAAGTCATTCTGATGGTAACTTCTATAAGAACCTTAAATTGATTGTTTAATTGGTTGATTGGTTAATTGACTAATTTACACTACTGTTCAAAAAATTTGAGGTTAATACGATTATTTGAGAGAACTTTATTCAGCAATGACACATTAAATTGATCAAAAGTGACAGAAAAGACAATTGTTAATGCTACAGATATTTCTGTTTCAAATAAATGCTATTCTTTTGAACTTTCAAAAAATTGTTTTAAACATTGACAATAAGAAAAATGTTTCTTGAGCACCTAATCAGCATATTAGAATTACAGGAATACATAGAATTTTAAAATATATTAAAATTGAGAACAGTTATTTTATTTTATTATACAGTAATATTGCATTTTATATGATCAAATAAATGCAGTCTTGATGGGCATAAGACACTTATTTCAAAAACATTTAAAAAGTCTTACCGCCCCCAAACGGTAGTGTATAATTCAATTTTCCCCACAGCTCAAAGATAAACTGCCTGTGTTATTTCTTAATTTTTGTCTTTTTTTTTCTCAGAGTGGTCAGTTTCATTGTCAGTGTGAGAACTGTAATGAATGACTATGGGGTTTCTGTTTGTGTTATTCAGTTGTATTGTTTTCTCTGCGTGTGTCCGCAGGCATGCTGCTGGCAGGGTTTATCCTCAGAAACATCCCTGTGGTCACAGATGCAGTTTACATTGATGTTAGATGGTCTGCTTCTCTGAGGAACATTGCACTGGGTGTCATTCTGGTCAAGGCTGGGTTGGAATTAGACGAAAAGGTAAGAAACCTCACCGGCCCCTGTAGAGTTACAAAAACATTGCTGCTAACCCGAGAGGATGTGCCTTCATGCTCTTTAGAATTCTCTTTCAGCCAAACACCATGTTGTTTGTTGATATCCACTTTAATTTCATGAAGATTTTTCACTTAACCGATCAAAAATAAATTGTGTTCTAATATATTGTTTTTATGTGTATTTCAGGCTCTGAAGAAGCTCAAAACCGTGTGTTTGCGTTTGTCCATGTTCCCTCTGACCTGCGAGGCAACCACTATGGCTGTGGTCTCCTATTTAATATTGGGTCTTCCATGGGTCTGGGGCTTTATTTTAGGGTAAACCACTGATTCTGATTAGACAAGAACCTCTCTGACAATGTCTACTGCTACCAACCTAATTGTTGCCATGTTTTGCTCTGTAGGTTTGTTCTCGGAGCTGTTTCTCCTGCTGTTGTGGTTCCGTCTATGCTGCTTCTGCATAAGGAGGGGTATGGTTTAGAGCAGGGTATACCTACTCTACTCATGGCAGCATGCAGTGTTGATGACATCATTGCCATTACCTGTTTCACCACCTGCTTGGGTATAGCTTTCGCCACAGGTATGCCAAAAGATATCCAAAAGGGAGCGAATACACAGTATATTTCTAAAATAAAGTAATAAATGAGAGCGCAAAGTCAGCTGACATTGGATTCAGTGTTCATTTGATATCAATAATTTAACCAGTCTGACAGAAGAATTCAAAATGCTTTTCCACAGACGGACGATGTTTAGGATAAGACTACATTGTGCTAAATTCTAATATATATATATTAGAATTTTTTATTTGTTCAGAAGTTTTTTTTTTTTTGGTAGTGCTTTTGAAGTCTTTTTGAAGTCAAAAACTGTAATATTGTGAAAAATTGTAACAAGTTCCAATATCTGTTTTATATTTTAATGTTAAAAATTTCTATTTTATTATGTTTTTTATTTCTGTGGCAAAGCCAAAATTTCAGCATCATTACTCCAGTCTTCTATAAATATATA